CATAGTGGGCGCGGGGGTCCTTGCAACAGCTGCCCCAAGGGCTGCGTGGAGTGGGGCTGCCCCAGCTGCGCCTGATTGGACAAGCTGGGGATGGGCTCCGCCCCTTGCCCCCAGTATGTGGCCGGGGGAACTGCAGCATGGCCCACGCTCTGTCCGCATGTGCGGTGGACGGAGGCATGGGGTAAGTTCCCGTGCGGAGCTGGGGGTGCCTCGGGGCCGGCCAGGTGGACAGAAGCTTGGGGTAAGTTCCCATGCAGAGCTGAGGGCGCCTCGGAGCTGGGTTGGGGCTGTATGTGTGCGCGTACGTGCATGCATGTGCATGTGTGTGTGTTTCCCAGCACATCCCAATAGCTGCTTTGATCTGTCTGCTGCAACACATGTGTGCACATTTCCAGACCCATTTCATTGTCACTTCCTGCAACTTCATTGGTGTCAAGGGTCATGTGACATCACTTCCTTTTGTGATGTAACTTCCTGTGAGGTCTTTGAATATGGCTCACCGGCCCACTGGGTGATAAATAGTTCGTGATCCGGCCCCACATTCAAAAAGGTTGGACATCCCTGCCTTACACTGTGAGCTGCACAAATGTTGATCAGTGTTAGTGCTAGCTTGAGTTTGGAGCAGTTACACTTCAGGCCAGCAGAAACCTGGAGGACTGAAAGGAACAGACAGATCCAGCAGCCACAACTAAGCAGGGGGGTGGGGTTGCCATGAACAGGGATCTGAGGTGCTGGAGGGGTGGGGGGCAGTAGGCAAGGGGACAGTGGGCCTGATTTTGGCCAGCAGGGAAAACGCGGTGGATGGGATATAGAGTTAGTGCAACACAAGCTGGGCAGCACGGATCAGAGATTGCAGCAAAACCCCCAGGGGTTTTTTTGTTTTTTTTTTTTACTTAAAAATACATTCCCTCCCCTTCCCCAACTGTTTCTGTCTTCCTCTCTGCCCTCTCTATTCCTTATAAGTAGTTATAAGTAGTCATAGATAAGCTAAGATAAGTTCTTATATTCCATTATTGTAACAAGCCCCTTTTTATATTGTAAATAGTGTTCTGTTTTTATTGATTTTTACTGTTTTATATTGATATTGTATGATTTAGGCCTCTTTCTGTAAATTAGTCAAAGTAATGTCAAGTCTCCATTTTGTGTCCCCTGCCCAGGCATACTCTATTGTAATTATGTTGCAACTGTGACTCATACGTACCCCTCCCATGTAAATTTGTTCTTGGATGAATGAGAGAGAATGACAGTGCTTGAGACATAATGGTAGCAGCCCTAAAAATAGCTCCTACTGAGTGACCGGACCATCAGCTTAATGACTGGACCATCAACTTAACAACCCTACTGCTGCCTTGCATTGACTCTCCCTGAAACCACAGACTTCCTTTCAGGAGCAGAGACAAAACCCAATATTTGAAAGATAAAGACCCTCCAAGAAATCAGCAACATGGTAACAAAGAACAGAATAGAAACCAGCAACTCCACCATTGTATCCCACTGGACAGTGAGGACACCTGGAACTGCACAACCTCATCTGAGCAGGACTGGCCCTTGCCTGGGCATGTCCTTCTCATTGGAGTCACAGGTATCCCACCCTTATAAAAGGGGTGTTAGAGTGTGACCTCCTTGGGACGCCCTCTTTATCTGGACTAGCACTATGCCACGCCACCTATCCACCCAGAGGCCCTGCCGACGAACCCCTCTGGACAATGCCTTGCTGGAAAAGACCCCGCCTGCCCATTGAGGATCAGCTCTCAGCCTGAGACCCATGAGACCCAATCTCATGTCTGACTCCCATCCCTCTGTCCTCTGTCCCTCTGCTTCCCCGCCCTGGCTCTCTGCCACCTTTGACCCCTGTCCCAGCTCTCCCTCTATGTCCCGCCTTCTCTGCCAGCTTCCTACTCCCCCGGCTCACCGCTGCTCCACCACCTCTAAGCTTTCAGCTTTCCCCAGCTCACCGCTGCCTCCACCCCCCCCCTGTCACTATCCCAGCTTTCCCTGCAGCCTCTCTGGTTTCTCTGCCGGCTCTTCCCACCCTAGCTTCCTACCTCCACTCCACTGCCTCTGTTCTCCTGGCTTCATGGCCAGTTCTCCCAGTCTCGTCTCCACTGCCTCCTCCACCCAGGGCCCTGTAACAGGGGGCCTCCTCGGGGCCGATCTCCGTGGCCCGCCCACCTGTTCTTGGGCCAACCGCCCGCTTTCTCGCCCGCCACGCCTTGGTGTTAATTGATTCATTTACAGATGTCACTCAAGTGGGAGGCTGCCCATTTTAGTGCCTGATGCCAGGGGGCGCTCTCTGCGGCTCCTATCCTCCCCACTACCGCAGCTCAAGCCTCGCAGATGGCATCTTGATGTTCATATCCTCACTGGCCCCCACGCTGGGCCCCAGAATCTTCCAAACAGGACCCCTCCACGATCCCTCCAATCAGGCAGCCTCTCTGCCTTCATCCTGGCTACCTAGCCCCCCCAAAGCCATTTTCCCCTCTCAGGTGTGGTCTCCCCCGGGAACTTCGGCTACTCGCCCTGGCCCACCTCCAGGCCAGACGGGACCCCA